TACTAGGGTTTTATAAACGAATTGTGTTATTAAGCATTGTATTTGTATAGGTGGATGGTGTTACTGGGTGCATTGTTTTACTGAGGATAGTGTTTCTATAGCCAAATGGTATTACATGTGTTTAACAAAGGCAGATGGTAATACTAGGACGGTATTACTAAGGTTCTATAGGTGAATTGTGTTACTAGGTAGATGATGTTACTAAGTATAGTGTTTTTACAGATGGTCTTACTAGGCATGTTGTGTGTGTTTTACAAAAGCAGACAATATTACTATACTTCCATAGGATTGCATACATATTTCAACTCGTCTCAACTTGTATTCATATTTTTCATTTATATACTTATCTGTATTGCATGTGTTTTACAAAGAGAGATGGTGTTTCTATAAGTGGATAATGTTACTAAGGTTAGTATTTGTATAGGTGGATAATGTTGCTAGGCAGATAATTCAATAGGATGATAAGATTGTTGTAGGGTGTCTCAACATGTGATTAGATCATCAATATCTAGATTTAATTATATGTCCTAAAAATTACAAGTAAAACCATTATTTTAATAAAACAATTATTATAACACTATTACATGTGTCAGTTTTTATCACACAAACTATTTTAATTTATCCATTATTTGAACTAGGCAAAATATTATAGCATGGCCCATAATTTACTTTACATACTTTTACAATTATCTGTCCTGAAAGTATTTTATCATATCTAATGTTTCATTATATAAACATTGAATGAAACAGTTAGTATAGCCCATTGTGTTTTTTATGTATCAATTTAGTACACATTTAATGTACTGATTATAGTTTTTGCTCGTATATCTAATTTGAATGACATAATTTTTGCCTTTCTTGAAATTTTATATGATAAATGCTTATTGCTAATTCATTTCTATAAACAATATACTGTGTAACATATATTTACCCTGAATTATCTAAATGTCTAAATAAAATACAATAACCTCATGTTTATCGCAATAAGTTGATTTGTTTCACTAAAGCTTGAAGGATCTATGTAATTAGTTATATTTAACAAATACTCTTGAAGAAGACTATAGTCATACCTTTCTGTAGATATTTTCATATATCTTTGTTGAGAACGTATTTCTAGCTGACTGAAACTATTTGCATATAGGCATTTTTTCAGTTTCTACCTGAAGGTCATTAAATTAATCGTTTTGCTATAACTAAATATAATAAATTAATGAAAAACTAATAGGGTTATACTAACTGTCTCGTTCAATATTTATAGAAACGAAATATAAGATACGATAAAATCTTTTCAGGACAGATAATTTTATAAGTATGTAAAGTAAATTATTGGCTGTGCTATAATATTTTGTCTAGTTCAATTAATTTATAAATCAAAATAGTATATGTGATAGAAATTGACACATGTAACTGTGTTATAATAGTTGTCTCATTAAAGTAGATTTATTTTACCATTTGATTTTTTCAAGTTCGTAAAATTCATAATTTCCTCGTGAACTTTAAGTATAAGACATTCTGGTGATTTTATGACACTTGACCTCTAGGGCTGGATTCTTAAATCATCAAAGAAATCATTTCCTATGAAACTGTTACAACAAAGTGTACTTAACGTTCCTCTCTTTCATAGCAGCTCAAAGTAAGAAAAAATCAATTTATTCCAAAGAACTTTTATTAACAGATCCCTATTTATTGTGAGCTATTTATTAAAACTGTGAGATCCATTTCAAGAAAAGCATTGTTAACATACCCTTATTCATTCTGAGCTATTTATTAAAACAGTAATGTTTATTTCAGGAGGGCCTTGTTAACAGATCCTTATCTGTTGTGTGCTGCTTATTACAACAGTAAGGTTTATTACAGGAGAGCATTGTTAACAGATCCTTATTAACTGTGAGCTATTTATTAAAATAGCAATATTAAAATAGAATTACAGGAAGTAAAGTTTTGGATGAGTATTATAAGTAAGTAGGTCCTGATACTATTGTTTGTAAAGTTTTTATAAATATGATTAAGCATAGGAAATAAACGTACCTAATATTAGTAAACAGATGCATTATATAAGCATCTTCATGTGCATATTCCTAAACTAATATTTGTAGACACTGTGAAAGTATTAAAGTATTCCACATTCTTACTTATATTTTACTTAATACTTAACTATCTTAATTAGTATTTTCTTATAATAACATATTTTTACTCTATGTTTTATTCGGATAATAATCACTGGGAGAATTTCTTTTTAAAACATATTTAAATATGTCTATAAATTAGTTACAAATTGATAAAACCAGTCATACGGTAATTCACCAGAAGTTGTTTTTACCTATAAGTAGATAGGCTGTGTTATTTCTTACATTGATTTTCTAAAGAATCAGAATATTACAGAATACTGAAAAAGACAAAGGTAAAAAATATTTTAGTTACCTTATATCACTCAATTTTGTAAACACAAGTATGTTTATTAATTCCTTATTAATATAGCCAGTCAGAGTATTTTCATTAACTCTCTCAACACGGGGTCGGTCAATTTGACCGAGTCACGTGACCTTTTGTACTCGTTTAGAGTTGATATAAATCTAATACTTATAACTCTATATATTGGGTATATCTTCACGAAATTTGGCAGTCTTTCAGTTAATATTACAAGTCTTTCACATACAAAAAGTCACATTTCTTAGTGAAGTATTTTTAATAAAATAAAACAAAGTTTTGTCCATGAATATATTGAGTATTTGTTTTGAATAGTCCGTGTGCAAAGTAATTTTCATGTTAAAAATAAAAATACTTTTCGTCATCTCAAAAATCTCCAATTTCCTTTGTGCTATCCCCAAGATCCCCTAAATGCATTTCAAACGTTTTGTTTTCACTAAATTCTTATAATTTATGTGTTATTTTCTCTACCCTATCTCAAAACTGGATCGGTCAATTGGACCGACCTCGTAACCACAAAAAAAACAAACAACACACACACACACACACACAAAAAAAAACAATACAAATATGCTTTGACCTTTAGTTTTATAATAACAGTGACTAACGAACCGGCTTAAATCAACGTCACTTTACTTAATAGTTTCAACTGTCTAAAACCTTTTTTCTTTTGTATAAAGTTAAGACAATACTTTTTTAAATGCGACAAAAAAGACTGCCTGTATGAATCTGTTATAATAAATGAAACGACGTCTGGATCTGGATCTGGGAGGGTCAGGTGCTACGTCGACCTCTTCATAATAACATTCAGTTTTTGTCTGTCCTGACAATGTGCACATACCTTATTATCTAAATGTGGATGCGTGTGCTCTTCATTTCAACGGATGTAAACAAAAGGCGAATGTAATAATACTTTAGCAGACATTTTGTACAACAAGATATTAAACGTTTATCAAAGTTTTTACAAAAGCTCTAACGTTGGGTCGTAGTATAACATTATAAGTTTATTTATTGGTTGTATTAAGTAAGGTAAAGTTTAGCTCTCACTAAACTAAAGCAAAAAAATGTCCACAAGCTACAGTGTTTATTTTTGTTATCAAATATAAACCGTACTTATTAAAGGCTTAAGTAATCTTAGGCCTAAGGCAAATAGACTTATAAATTTCGGT